AGGCAGTTGTTATTCTTTCAAGAACTGCCACATCTTCTATTTCCTACACAAGATTTTATGGTTCTGGACCTGTATGGCTTTGTAGAATATGATGGTCCCATACATGAGAAGTAGTATCTTTTGTGTTTTATAAGAAAAGAGTGCCTTCAACAAAAGAAAACACTGTTACGATCTTTTCTTATACCCCCAAACTGGATATTATGGCAAAGACTGTAGTTTTATTAACTCAGGGAGTTAATATAATTGCAGTTTAAACTACGGTTAATAAACTTACTACAGTCAATAAAACTGTTTTAATAAGTTTTATTAAGTTCAGCGAGGGTGGCAGACTGCAAAGTCACCTTTCACTTTTGTTTGTGTAGTAGGCACAAAGAAGTAGTAGGTTACAGGTAAAGCCTTCCTCCAACTAGTCTTTCTCTACCCTTGATTTTACCTGTCCAAACACTGAAGTGCTTGGTAGAAGAGAGGTGGACAGAAGAGAAGAATGACAGTTTTGCTAGCTCAGTGCACAGAATAAAACAAAACAACCCTATATTACTCAAAGTACTCTGCTCACTCAAACAATTGTTCTGGACCCCATGAAAAAATGGAATAAATGATGGTCTTTACTTCACAAAGTTCATATAATCAAAACTGGGAGGATGAGCAAACCAGTGAGGGAAGTGAAAATTTAATCATTTGCTTAAGAAATTTATCTAGGTAGGAGCTTTAAGTAGAGTTTGTGTTCTCAAAAGCCCTAGTTCCACTCTTGTACTGTAAGAAAATTGGGGTTCTGATCTTGCTGTTTAATGTAATATATGGCCCTAGACTCAATTTGCATGTGAACTGTAGGTAAATCTAGCAGTCACATAAAATTAAGATGTATTAATTTTGCAAAGATTTGCTACTTTATGTTTGTACTTATTTATTCTGAAACTTGGGACTTGTATTAGATTATTTTCTCTTGAGTATTCTCAAGATCAATGAGAGCATAAATTAGTTATGATTTTAAATAATTAGAAAGCACTAATCTACAAAGGAAGAAAGGGTCTTTTTTACATTTCAAGAGGAAAAAGAATGAAGCAAAGCCATGCAGGACTCCTTTGATATTGCTTTTTATGTCATCCTCAACTAAAATAGGAAATATGAAATCATATCAGGAAACTCTGCATTCTTATATCATCAAATTATTTGTATTTTTTTAATCTGTCACAATATGAAGTTTATAAAAAAAAAGGACAGTCTTTAAAATTCATATTTATTTAAAATGAATTAATCTTTGGCCTTTAAGCATGGGGAAACTAATTTCTTTTGTTACCTTTTGATAATGTCTGATTTAGTTTGATTCTCTGATAAAAATGAAATTTAATGCAGAGTCATGCAGAAAGTAAATAATAGAGCAGTGAGAACACACACAAATTTAACAATGTATAACAAAAAATGCATAAGTAACATAATACAGTTGCTTTGTAACATTTCAGTTGTGGTTTGATTTGAACTAGAAATTCCACAATCCTCATTACTTTTGTGACTTAAATCAGGAAGCTAAATAAAAGTAGAAACACTATGAGAAAACATATCTTTCAGGGTCTCATAGGATTGGATAATTTGTTAAAGTTCTCTAGGGTAATTGATGATGAATTATCACCACTTACTTTTTTCTTGCATGTCTTGGGAATTCTTGGTATAAATCATAATAAATTAATCTTCACACAATAAGAAAGGGACAAAGAGAAAGAGACAAAAGCTTATAATATATCTCTAGTTTATTACCTAAGACTTTTCTCTTATTCTTTACATTTTTGTTGATTAAACATTTTTTTGTTGGACATAAATCTCTTTTTCTCCATTGATTTGGCAGCACTAACAGAATGGACTATGCCTGTTTCTCTTTGGACTCTTCAGCAACATCAATCCTGCAAATAAAGAAGCCATAACAATTTTCCCATGTAACCTCTAAAAGTAAGCCAGAGCACTTTGTGTCATGAAATTTTCATTCCTTTTTTTTTCTAGCAGAACAATTTGAGTTCATGATGTATTGAGGTTTTCTTTTTGTTTGTTTGGGTTTTTTGGGGGTATTTTTGGGAGTTTTATTTGTTCATCTTTTAACATTAGCTGCTATAAACAGAAGTTTACTAAAGAGGCCAGTCTGAACCTTTCCAATCAGCTATTTATAATCATAAGGAGAACTGGAAATGAACTCAACCCAAAGGAATTATGGCTCAATGTCATGCGTTAAGTGTTCTTTCACTGATTTATTTCTCTAGAAGCTTTACCATATTCCAATCAATTCAGGTACAAGAAAGCTATACTGCACTTTTTTTTCCATGAAAGGAGTGAGTGCAGTGTCTGTGAAATGGATTAATAAAGATGGAAAAGTTGCCTTGTGCCTGACATGAGTATTCTTAGAGTAAATTATCATTTTGTGGTTTTGGTTTGTTTTGCCTGTTAGAAGGTTGCAAGTCTCCATTACAGGCCATTCCAAGTTCTTAAATGTTCTCTAGCCAATATAATTGACCTGCAGCTAAGGAAAGGTTGATTTTCATTGTAAAACTGCAAATTTCTTTGTTATTGCATTGCCAAAATAAAGAGTGAAGCTGCTTTACTTTAACTGATACATATTTTCCTGCCTGAAATAAAATGAGTTTATGGTTCTGAGAAATGATAAGAATTTTTCAAGCCAGTGATTACTTGTTAAATGATAAAAGTAAGTGAGAAGATTTGTACGAAAGGACCAAATTAGGGTGATAGGTGAGGGTGAACTATACTGCTTGAATTGAAAAATAAAATTCTGGCAATTTTGTGAAAAGTAAAGCTTTTCATGGTATCTTACAGTGAACAACATTCATTCTCTCTTTTGGATTTGCAGATTATGTGATGACTGCATTAAGTTATAAAGTGGATTCAAAAAATATGTTCAGAAATACTTCTAGGCAAGATCGTGATGACAATCTCATTTAATGCACAGAAAAATTGTAAATCATTGCTACTTAAATCTCGTTGAAAGTCTGGTTACTGTTTCAGTTGAGAATTTAATAGTATTTTCTTACATCATCTAACCTGTTTATAAACACAAACCGTGTGTAAGGTAGACATGACGTAGACATCTGGGTAAATTGAGACAGACAGAGAACAATAAACAACTCTATCCTTAGTTAGGGAACAGGAATCAAAACATTTTTCACACACACCTCATTTGGCTTATTTTTAAGATAGCAATAAGCATCTCTGAACACCAGCAGCATGAAGAGAGACCAGGTGAAAAATCTGCAAGTGTCATGGCCTTCTTGTGACTAGAAAAGGATTTGTCAATAAAAAATGCAAGTTGACTTTCATGGAAAATGTTACCAAAATAAATCCAAATATATTTTTTTAAATTTGCTAGCTGGAGGCATCTAAATTCTTTTTTTCTCTCAAAGATAAATGGAGAAGAAATAAGGGGGCCAACAGAAATCACCCTGGTAAATAACATTTCTTTAATTTTCCTCAAAATTTATTCAACTCCTAATTTTACAGGCAGTCAAAAAACATAAACCACTGGAATTAATTTCCATTGGAACATAAACCCCCATTTTTTTCCTGTGAGAGTGACTAAACACTGGCATAGGTTACACAGAGAGACTGTGGTGTCCCCATTTTTGGAGGTATTCAAAACTCTGAATGGACATGGTTCTGGCCACTGACTATAAGCGCCCCTGCTTGAGCAGGGCATTGGACAAGGTGACCTCCAGAGGTCCTTTTTACACATGGAAATTAAAAGAAAATTCATATTTCCTGATATTTTCTTTTCTATGAGATACCATTTAGAAAGCAGTAATACCAAGTCATGTTGTTTGTTTTTTTTTAAATGCTGGAGAGTGTGTCGGATTTTGTTCAAAGACATCAAGTGTGTTTTGAGCCTTGGAGGGAGAACTAAAAAAGATGACAGATTTGTGATTGATAACCAAAAGGCAAATGAGCCCTCTTTTAAAGCACAGAGTAGTAATGAAGGAAACATAGTGATCTTAATGCTTAGTAAAAGCATATGGAGTCCTAGAGTACTAGAATTCTTTTAGGAGAAACAGTGTTCATTGGCTATTTTGGGAAGGGGTATTTATAATATTGTTTTAAAACTAAGCACTCTTGGAACCTCTGTTTCATAGAAATCAAGTGCTATCTCTTACAAAGAAATATTAAGTCATGTGTACTTCTTCTATTAGTCTTTTAGAAATCCCTAGGAAATTAAATGAGAAACAATGTACATGTCATTTGAATTTTTAATGTAATTTTGGTAGAGACTCTTCCACTAGCATGTAAGATACCCAACATAAATTTAAGTAACCAGGAAAATTACTGTCTGAGATGTTGCTTGTTGAACACAAAACAAAGGCTGTAGACATTGAAACAACCTGAAAGAGTACATTTCCAATTGGAATCTCTCAACATTTTATGTATCCTATTTGGATTAATTTTTCTTCCTGCTCAGTGGAATCCATGCCATGGCCATGATAATGTTACACACTACCCACAGATTTAGAAAGTCTAAACTAAGTAATAGCAAATAACCAGTGAAGAGTTCTTTGACAAAGGCATTCATGAATTTATAGACTTTCATGAGATATGACTGCGTAAGAAAAAATATTTCTCTCTATTTCAAGTTGCTAGCCTATGACCTTTTGTGCTTAGGCAGAACAAGGTATTTTTCATGAGTGATAAACTTAAAGCTTGCCCTTCTGGTTGATATCTGAAGATAAAGATTAAACTGCAGTGAAGATACATTACCTACTGTGATAGTTTGGTCTGGGCCTTCCTTGGTGACCAGTTTGTAACCAAGGAAGTGCCCAGATTTACCCAGTATTCCCTACGATTTTTACGTAAGCTGGGCTATAAGAAGAAAGGAGGAGAGGCCTTCGCTCTCTTTCCTTCTGGTGGCTTGGAGGTGCAGGTTCCCTGCTGTTGAGTCTGCCGTGTTGGGGAGCGAGGCCTGGTAAGGCCTTGTCGACCTTGAGAGACGGAGGTTACCGGCGATCGTTCCAGCGTGACTCTCCATTGTCCCAAGGAGAGTAGTAAGATAGTCTTTTGCTAATTTCTTTTAGTTGCTAGATCTCGGGCTACTGATTGGGATATATATATATTTTATTTTGGTTTTGTTCCTTTGCCCTTCCCCCTTCCCTTTCCCTTGTGTAATTGTATATATATTTCAATTGTATATAACTGTAATATAAGTGTAAATATATTTATATATATTGCTTTAGCTGTCTCTCTCTCGTTTCGGTTTTCTTGGTTGTTTTTTCCCTCTTCTCCCCAAGGTTTGGGGGGGGGTTTTGGGGGGGGGGGGTGTTTCCTGTGGTAAGGTTTGGAGACTTGGCAGGGAGCCAGCTTCAAACCATATCACCTACTGTGCTGGTTTAAAGATAAACCAGCAGGGGAAATGAATTCAACTCAAAAGAGAGATTATAAATCAGAATAACAATTTAATAAAATAATACAATAAGTACGATTATACAGACAAACAATTGGTTTTAACCCATAAAACCCAAATGTATAACCCAGCACCCTGGGGCATGAACAGAGTGGTGTTTTTTGGCCCCCCTGAGTCCAAAGGAAAAGGAGAGGGGAAAACCTGTTGGTGAGAGTGCTGTTGCAGTCTGGTCAAGAGTGGTGATTGCAGTCCAGTCAAGAGTGATGGTTGCAGTCTGGTTGAAAAGTGGTGGTTGCAGTCCAGTTGAGAGTGGTGGTCTGCAGTCTGGTTGAGAGCGGTGGTCTGCAGTTTGGTTGAGAGAAGTGATCTACAGTCTTCCTCTGGATCCCACGAGTGGTTAAAAAAGTTCCAAGACTCCAAGATTATATATTCTCCAGTTCAGACAGGAATGCCCAGCACTTCCCTCAGGGCAGGGAGCTCCACAAAGGGTGTGAGGACAAGAGCATCCTCCTATCTCACAGGCCTCTTAACATCTAGTTTATAGCCTGAGTCAGGCTCTATGGACAGATGGTGTAAATGGTTCATTGATAACAGTTTCTGGGAAATGGCATGGAATACACAGTTTTGGGTTATACCCATACAATGATGAACTGGTCCCAGCTGTTCTAACTAGGACACCTACTCGGTTTCCAGTTTAATAATTATATTTTGCATTTTTAACATTCTGCATTATTCAGGAAAATAACACAGAATGCAGTAATCAAGTAGTACACTGTTTAACTAATTCCAAGTAATGTTCCTGGACAATATTTCTACTTTGAGTTTGATTTTTGTGGTTTGTGTTTACCATGTTGAAGTCATTCTTGTATGTTGTTTTTGAATTCTAGATATCTGAAGTACAGTGGTTTTGCTTATGGTACTTGAACCTTATAACTTACACCACCACCTGTACACCACATCAAGACCTCCTTTGTTAACAGGAAAAGAAGGGTAGTTGTAATAGGAGACTCCCTTCTAAGGAGAATGGAGGCCCGATGTGCTGACCAGACCCAACTCACAGGGAAGTCTACTGTCTTCCAGGGGCTTGTATAAGGGATATTAATGGAAAAATCTCAAGTGTAGTAAGGCCCTGTCCACTATTTGTTGTTCAAACAGGCAGTGATGAAATAACAAAGAAAAGTCTGAGGGCAATCAAAGGAGACTTCTGGGACCTGGGACAATTGATAGAGGGATCAGGATCACAGGTAATGATTTCCTCAATCCTTTCCGGTAATAAGAAATAATATTGATAAGAATAGGAATATCCAACAGGTCAGTGAGTGGCTCTGAGTTCGGTATAATCAGAAAGATATTGTGGGTTTTGGCCATGGGATGATCTACTCAACACCTTGTCTACTGACCAGGGATGCACCTGTCTCTGAAGGCAAAAAGAGTTCTAGCACAGGACCTAGCAGGGCTTGTTGACAGAGCTTTGAACTAGCTAGAAGGGGGAAGGGAACAAAACCAGGCTTGCCAGTGCTGAGCAGTGGGATGTTGTACCAAAATTTGAGAAAATAAGCACTAATGGGATCTGTCAATCTACCTCAAGAGGTTTAGGCTACAATGTACCACACCTGACATGTTTCTACAACAAAGCAAGCAGCATGAGGAACAAAGCTTTGGCCCAGTCCCACAAATTTGACATCACTAGCGTCAATGAAACCTGGTGGGATGAGACCTGTGAATGGAGTGCCCTGTTGGATGGTTACAGGCTGTTCAGGAGGGATAGGTAGGGTAGAAAAGGTGGAGAGGTGGCCCTGTATGTAATAGAAGTGCCAGAATGTATGGAGCTCACAGTTGACAATGGCACAGTTGAGAGCCTCTGGGTAAGAATCAAGGCACAAACAAATAATGCGGATGTCATTGTGGGAGTCTGCTATAGACCCCCTGGCCAGGCCCCCTGGCCAGGATGATGACACCAACAAATTATTCTTTGAGGAACTAACAGACACTTCCAAGTCATCTGCTCTTGTCCTTATGGGGACTTCAATTTGACAGAAATTAACCAGGAGCATCACACAGCTGGTACAACCCAGGCCAAAAGGTTCCTAAAAAACCTTTTGATGACAACTTTATGGAACCAATCCTAAGAGAGCCAACTTGAAAAGACACTCTCCTTGATCTGCTGCTTGTCAACAGAGTGGATCTTGTGAGTGAAGTGGAGATTGGTGGACTCCTTCGCCACAGCAAGCACAGGATGATCTCCACTGACAGAAGGAAAAGGGCCAGAGGTGTTAAACATTTTCTTTCCCTCTGTCTTCAACACAGATGATGGACCAAGGGGGTCTCAGTGCCCTGAGCTGGAGGACCATGACTGTGAGAATGATTAACTCCCAGTTGACCTTGAAATTCTGTGGGATCTGCTGCTCCAGTTGGATCCTTACAAATCTATGGGCCTCATGGGATTCATCCAAGAATCCTTAAAGAGCTGGCTGAGGTAACCGCAAAACCTCTCTCGACGATTTTTGATCACCCTTGGGAATCCAGAGAGGTGCCAGGTGTCCAGAAGCTGGGAAATGTTGCCCTGATTTTCAAGACAGGCAAGGAGAAGACCTCTGGAAATTACAGGCCTGTTAGTCTCACCTGAGTGCCTGGTAAAGCTATGGAAAAGATATTATTCTGGGAGATATTGAAAAACACCTGAAAGACAATGCTGTCACTGGTCACAGTCATCATGGCTTCATGAGAAGAAAGTCCTATCTATTATCAAATCTAAATTATCAAATCTAAATTATCAAATCTAATTTCCTTTTATGACAAGATAACCCACCTAGTTGATCAAGGGAAGCCAGTTGATGTAATATTTTTGGATTTCAGTAAAGCTTTCAATACTGTCTCTCACAGGATCCTTCTGGACAAAATGTCCAACACACAGCTGGATAAACACACCATATGGTGATGCAATTGGCTCATGGGTTGAGCACAGAGGGTAATAGTGAATGGGGTAACATCCGACTGGCAACCTGTCACTAGTGGGGTTCTGCAGGGCTCCGTCTTAGGCTCTGTGCTCTTCAACATCTTCATAAATGACTTGGATGCAGGAGTGGAAGGGATACTAAGCAAGTTTGCAGATGACGCAAAACTGGAAGGAGCTGTTGACTCCTGCAAAGGCCGGAATGCCCTGCAGAGAGACCTTGACAAATTAGGGGACTGGGCAATCACCAACCATATGAAGTTCAACAAGGGGAAGTGCCAGATTCTGCACTGGGATGTGGCAACCCTGGATGTTCACACAGACTGGAGAATGAGGTGCTGGAAAGCAGCGCTACAGAAAGGGACCTGGGGCTCCTGGTTGATGGCAAGTTGAATATGAGTGAGCAGTGCCCTGGCAGCCAGGAGGGCCAACCATGTCCTGGGGGGCATCAGGCAAAGCATTGCCAGCCAGTCAAGGGAGGGGATTGTCCCACCCTGCTCTGCACTGGTGTGGCCTTGCCTTGAATATTGTGTGCAGTTTTGGGCACCACAATATAAGAAAGATATTAAGCCATTAGAGAGCATCCAAAGGAGTGCAATGAAGTGGTGAAGGACCTTGAGGGGAAGCCGTATGAGGAGTGGTAGAGGTCACTGAGTCTGTTCAGCCTGGAGAAGAGGAGACTGAGGGGACACCTCATTGCACTCTACAACTTCCTTGTGAGGGTTAGGGGAGGGGCAGGCACTGATCTCTTCTCTGTGGTGACCAGTGACAGGACCCAAGGGAATGGCCTGAAACTGAGTTAGGAGAGGTTTAGGTTGGATATTAGAAAGAGGTTCTTCACCCAGAGGGTGGTTGAGCACTGGAACAGGTTCCCCAGGGAAGTGGTCGCAGCACCAAGCCTACCAGAGTCCAAGAAGCATTTGAGTGATACTCTCAGGCACATGGTGTGACCCTTGGGGCTGGTTCTGTGCAGGGCTAAGGGTTGGACTCAATGATCCTTACAGGTCTCTTCCAACTCAGCATATTCTGTGAGTCTGTGAAATTCAACTTATTTGAAGCCATGCTGAACATTGAGATAATTTAGGGAATGTTGTCCCACCATATCTTTGTTTGTAAAAAAATATTTATGGACTGACATTTCTCTGGTAAAAAGTATCCTCAACAGGATTCTGTAAAATATAATCAAAGACGAAGCAGGCAAATTCCTAAAATTGCATATTAGTTGAAGTTACTACAATGCATCAGAGTAGGAAAGTTGACTCGCTTCTGCAAAATAGATAGTGCTTGCTTTATATTTATTAGCTGAAGTGCTCATGAAGATTTGACTCATGACAGGTTCCACGTGTCAGTGGCTGAAATAATCAAGGATGCTGGAATATCTCATGAGTTAGATGAATCTTTCCCAATCAAAGCTCAAATTATTTCAAAAGTGCTTATGTGTGTTTAAGGATCCTTCTGTTACTCCCTTTGTGTTAAAAAGGATTTAGGGGAATAACTATGGATATGGTGGTCTGCAATTGTGAGTGCTGTACACCTTCACTCGTGGAGAAAGGAGTAGCTTTAGGGGAAAAAAAAGAGGAAGCATTCTTTAGCTGATATGGATGGTATGCTGACATGTATTATTCACTGTCTTTCTGAGTTGGTGAATACTTTTTATCTGCAGTAGGAATTCCAGCATACTGTCTGGATTTTGCATGCATAAGCAGGTCAGTGTTTTCAGAGTCATTCAATGTGTGTTGCTGGCAATTCTCCATAAAATTTAACAGTATGGGTACCCTAAAGTTAATTATTAAACTCTCAGTTATTGTTCTTGAGACTAGGAAAACCTTGATTTTGATGTGCTAATCCACACCTCTTTGTGACAGATACTGCACCCAAAAATTCCTTTTCTGAGGCAGATATTTTAATTCCTGACACAAATTATCTCCTTTCAAAAGACACTCACTTGTGATGCTAGGACTCAGTGGTAGGTAATTTCCCATATCAGGAAATATTATTATCAGTAACATTTTTCAGCTAAAAGTTTGAGCTTTCTCAGCTTCAGCATCTGGATGGCAAGTCCCAGACACTTGTTAGACCTTGTCAGCTAATCTCACAGATTGACTCTGTGACTGCAGTGTTATATAAATGTTCTCTTGCATGACAGCAGTTATATTCTGTGGTTCTGTAACCTCTTAACCTTCCTTACCTATAAACAGTATGTTGTGAATGACTCAGTGAAAGACAGACTGTGGATTTTTTTTTCAGAGCAGGAAGAATTCTTGAAGCAGTTTACTCATCTCTATTTTTCAGGGCTTCCATACCCCAACCACTGTGACTGGATGCAATGTGCAGGTAGCTGGTTGCTCCTGTGAGGTGGTTCATGGGGAGGCTGTGACCTCTGGTGCAGTGACTGAGGAATGAGAGAAAAGAATCCACAACAATGTTGGTGGGGTGTATTTGGCGAGGACAGAAAAGCTTTCTGAGCCCTTGAATCAGTGTTTCTGGAAGGTTAAAGTAATGCCCCTGAAGAGCAAGCTCAAATAGAGGCTGATGAAAATTATGGCATGTTAAAAACTTCTGACAATATGTAGCTACAATTTCTTTTTCTCCCTGGAGTTTCAGTGCTGACAGATGCTATGAGGATACACATACAGGATTTCTTCTCGTTTACTAAAATTATGCAAAGATTAGAAAACAACAAAAAGACTTCTTAAAAGCAGCACCAAAGATGATTAAAAAGAAGCACAAAGGCATTTTATGCATAATACATAAACTTTCTGCTATTAGGCAAACAGATAAGAATTACAGGCTAGCTCCACTCACAAGAAGGTATGAGTGTGACCTCTAAAATTACTGTCCTTAAAATTCCAACATAGATGCCACCCATCCCTGAAGTTGCCTCATTTCTTAGCCTAAATATGCCACATGCAGCTCAGAACTCGGAACTCCATTCTTGGGAATTACACATTTCATTGTGAAGGTTTAAAAGATTGATATTGCAAAGGTCAACAGTATTCCTCAATTCTGTTTTTCTTTTTCTCAGGACCTTAAAGCCAAGCCTGTACCATACGGCTTTGGTATTCGAGTAATTCCGGTGACATTGGTGGAACTTGGGTGAGTTACAGAAGCTGAGGGTCTGTTGCAGTATGTCAAACAGATGAACACGTTGGAGTGACCAAAACTGCAAGAGAGTTTCCTGGGGGAGCATCAGTAAGTTGTTATAGAGTGAGACTAGAAAATAGGCAAGTACAGGACTTCAAACTCTGCAGCGTGGAGAGATGACTTCTTGCATCTACCTAATGATCTTAATAACCAAGTAAGGTACTCAGCTAAACTGTAATGAAAGCGTTTGTCTAAGTATTCAGGCTTCATTATAGTTGGCGGTGGGTTTTTTTTGGGACGGTTGTTTGTGTGTGGTTTTTTGTTTGTTTGTTTTAGCAAACAGGGGAACTGAGTTAATATAAAGGAGTAAATTTCTTTCACACCTTGAACTTGCACCTTAATAACTCCACTTGCTGCTGCTTCCCAAAGTAAAAATGAACCTGTTCTTTAGGAATTTGAATATCATAAGGTTTTAAGATTAGGCTTTGTTTAGCTCCCTGAATTCTGACTGTAGAAGAAAGAATTGTGCCCACTGGGAGGAGGTGCACACATTTTGTAGCAAGTGTGCACGTTGGATATGTAAGTGGTAATACCTTCTCATAATTTTCTGTATAAACCTCTCTGTCTGCACAATGGTGATACATAATATTAGTCTTTCCATTTACACTGAGGGAAAATCCTCCCATTTGGCTGTTTCTCTGAACTTTAATTAAATGCAGAAACCATCTCAAAGACTTGACAGATTTGTTAGAGAAAATGGAGACAGTCGTTGAGCTCTACATTTCTTCAAGGCTTTTCCTGTATATTACTTCTGGTGATCCACTGTATTGTATTACAAGCCTCAGGTTCTGAAATGAAATATGCAGGAGCAAGATGCAGCTTTCCTGTTTAAATCACTTGTATTTCCTCATCTCTTATCTAACATATATGCCCTCCTTCATGGACCTGTGCAATTATGGTTACATTCAGGTGGCCCAAGTTCCATACGCATCCCCAGGTCCAGTATTATCCCTTGGCTTGAAGGCTTTGTCTTTGTTTGTTTTGTTTTTCACCTAGCTAATGGTCAATATTAGGCACAGGAACACAAGCAGAATTTAGGCTTTCTTCTTGAGAGCTTTTCTGTACCTAGGGTTTTGGAGTATGCTATTCTACAAGTTTTGTCAAATACATATAGCATATAGCATACAGCAATGGATTACTCCATTATGTCAAAAAAGTGAATGCATGCTCTGCTTTATACTTGCACCTATCCATTTCAAGTAAAGTGAAATCTCAGCAAAACCACACAGATTGATTTGGGAAATATTGGCACAGAGGCTTCAGGTTTTGCAAGTACACAGTAGCTAGAAACCAGCTCTTATATCTCCCTAGAAGTTTTCCCTGTTACAATTTTCTTGCTTGCACGTAAGAACTCCATAGCACTAAGTTAATTTCCCTGACTATTCATCCACAAATAGAAAACACCCTTCTCCAGTTTTGCTTACTTTTGTTCTGGTGATATTATGTACTACTGAAGAAGATACTGGGAATAAGATCTATGCTTCCTGCAGATCACAAAGCTGTTAAGATGGTGGTGCTCATAGCTGCATTTTAAATCTTTGTGCTAGAGATTTGCCAAAGTGTAGGTAGAAGATCTTTATTGGAACAATAATCATAAATCCAGGACAGATGTGGATTAATCAAGTTTATTGTATGTGTAAAAAAACATGAGATAACTTTGAAAGATTTCTAGAATGCATTTTGCCTTTTTTTACATTTCTGAATAATTGTATTGTGTGTTTCTTTGCTTGCACGTGTGGGTATGAGGAAAGCAAACCTGACTGGGAGTCAGATAATTCTGTGTTGCAGCTTGTGCTGTGGGCTATTGCTTCTATCTCTAGCTGCCAAGATGCAGCCAGAATGAAAATAACCTATCATTAGTGCTCCAGTTGTACCCAAAGAACACTTTTGCATATTTGCAGTTATGGCTTTAATTGCTGCCAGTAAGTAGGGACATAACTAATAGTGCTTTGTAATTCAGTGACTCTTGTGAAGCCAAACCAATATGTTTTGATGGAAACTGAAACATGAGCTAATTTCAGTAGGTATCAGGTGCTGAATCTGTTGAATGTAAAGTATTAATGATTCCCTCCTGCTGAATTTCTCTTTTGTTAATTTATAACAAATATTTGAATAAGCTATCTTATCCACTTCATGTTTTAGTGGTTTTTTTTTGCCTTTGCCAGGGGCAATATAAACTCAAGTAAATTGAGTTTCCCAAGGAGTTGACAAGTTTTCCTTCAGTGCATATGTGTATTGCCTGAAAGTTATTTCTGGTTTCCATGACCTGTCCAGTTTACAGATATCAGTAGCTTTACCTAACTGTGTATTAAAATGGCAAAGGAGTTGCTTGCACGACAGTATATTACGCCATAAGAAATACTGAATGTTTGCCAATGTATGTGTGCATGTGTGTGTGCATGTTTGCACATGCATGTGAGGGAAGGATGGGGGCAGCTCACCTTGCTTTCTTAAGGCTTACTCCAGAAATGTTTTGAATTTCTTGTAAAGAGATTTCAGAGATGATAAAACTTTGGCAAATCTTTCATTAACCACAGCAAAAGTAAAAAGGAACTGATTCTGTGATATTGTACTTGACAGAACTGAGACAAAGTAAACTGCTTCTGTTATGCGAGTGAACATAATATTTCTGAAATTGCGTCTAAAAGCATCTGTTTCACATTTTCCAAGCGCTCTGAAGATGCTCATTGTGAACTAAAGGAAAAAACAAGCCTAGCATCCCTTTATTAATATTCTAAAATGCAAGTTGGAACTTAAAATGTTTTTTCTCTTTAACGGAGCAAAGAGACCTCTCAGTCTCAAACTCTTAACAGGTGTTTAGGATGGTAAATGCTCTCATTAATGAGCATATTTCCTTTTTGAAGGTTATATGACTTTCTTTCTGCTTTTTCCTTAGGCCAACATTAAGCCTTCATGATGTATTACAAGAACTGCAGGCACAAAGAAGTTAAGTAACAATAATAGTGAAGAAGAGACCCGGGACCAATATTATTTTCCTGATGATATTCTAGCTGTGCTGCCCTATAAGACTGACTCTGCCATTAACATGGACTGGAAAGAAGATAGGCATGTCTATCTCTCTCTGTAGTATGTCAAATAATAGGAATACAAAAGTAGCACTTTTCTCTGGTTTATTTAAATATTCAAAGCTATTAAATCAAGAAGTTAGTCCAGTTGAAAGTTCCTTACTCAGCCTTGTGAGGAAGAATGGAGAGAGGAAAGAAATAACTAATCAGCCTGGGAAATCCACTGCAGAAGAGTTATCAAACTGAAAAAAAACCCTTTCAACAAAACAAATAAGGCAGCCAGAACTTAACATTCCTCCTTCTTACTTAAAAGTCTTCTTTATCAAAGCCTATGTTTGAGAAACATAGGCATTTCCAGCATAATAACATCTAGAACAGTGTCTTGATGGCCAGGTTATGTTAGGAAGGTTGAATGCTGTATGAAGGTACTAGGAAACATTCATTTTTTTTGAAGATATAGCAGAGCAGTGAGAATAGATGTTGCTATGATTTTGAGGAGCAGACTACTAGGAAACATAAATTTTTTCCCCTTTTTCCTAATGTAGTGCTGTGCTGCCCCCAAAACATTTTCTCATTTCTTCCCCTTTGCTTTTACTGCATCATTCTCTGGGAAAATACAGCTTTAAAGCCAGAATGACACTGAGGAGGAGCCAGTTGGTATTTGAATTTGAAGTGATGCTTATCCATAGCAGGAGCAGAGGAGGAGAAAGAAAAGATGTAGCAGAGACTCTATCATCCAATGGAGACCCAACTGTACTCTCTTCTGGCTCTGTAACATCATTTTTGCAGTTCTATCCAGAACTACTTCTTGAGCAGTTAGCACTCATCAGCACGAGCAATTAACATGTCTGTAAAGAAACTCTCTCTCAAAAAAAAGAAAGATCTTTATTTTATCCATGCCAACAGACATACAGTTTGGGTTTGTGTATGACCATCCCTCGTCTATAACTAGTAGTGCTTACAAGAAAACAGTAATTATTCTTGGTTAGGCTTAGTCCTCTTTCGAGTTGGGATTCCCATGACAAGCAGAGAGACTTTAAGTAACTGCAAATTATAAAGAATATAGGAAAAAACAAGAACACACTAGTTTAAATCTGGGACAAAAATATTTTTTGACATTATCTCTATATGGAGGAGAGTTTAATGCATTAAAAAATCATCTGATTTCTTTAAATGGCATGCAGTGTCTCCCAAAAAGGGTTCTCTCCTGCTGTTATCACACACGAAAAAGGAGTCTGCCTGCTGTAACAAATTGATAGCTATATAAGAACTTATAACTGCCTCTTCAGAAAAAAAATCTGCCTTTTTTCATGTAGTTAGAGGAAAACTCTCTGCTAAAGAAAGTCTCTGAAACATAGAAGTGTTTGCAAAGAAAACAAACAGCTGTACATTTTGAGTGAGAATAATTCAGACTTGTAGCATATGTGAGTCCTGTTGTGTCGGGTAAAGTTGACATTGGAAAATGTGTCTTTTTTCTGATATGAGAATTCCTGACATACTACGGGTGTAGAACTCAATATTATGCAAATTAGTGATACCAGGGACTGGGCCAACAGCTAATTTGGCAAAAAAATATTTATAGTTGCTGACTCGGGGGGACTTGGAAAGAGACATTTGGGAAAATATACTGAGAATTATTCTGTTTCTGTTGGCATACATGAATGAAAAACACAGAAGTCAGGACCATGATTCTGATTTCCTGGCTGTCTGAAATGAAAATGCATGAAAAGTGAGTAATTAACCATTTCTGCTAAATACTGAATTTGCAGCTGCAAAAAGAACTATCCAAATTCTTCCTTGTCTATTTTTAATGAATGACTATTACTTATGATCATTGTAGAAAATTTCTAAATGCTATACAGAGGATTTACCATTAAAAAAAAAAAGAAAAGAAACATAAGTTTCTTAAGCAAATCTTTCATATATTGTTGAATAGTGTGGTACAATGTAACAGCATTAGCAAAACAAGCTTAGAGAATTAAGTATCAGTCATGCAATAGTACAAATCCAAATTCCATTAACCTTACTGACTCATGGCTCAGTAGAGACACAGATCAGTTGGAAAAAGCCCAGAGGACAGCCATGAGAATGACCAGAGGTCCAGAAAACACAACCCATGAAAAAAAATTGAATTAATTAACTAAAGAAGAATAGCTGATGAGGAATATAAATCCAATAGGTAAAAGTAATACATATTAGGCAGTTGTACAGGGATAAAAGAGCTGTTTTTCTGATCCAAGGTGAGTTAAAAAAAAAGGGTCATAAATTATGGCAGCAAAGGTTTAGGAAAACCATTGTGAAAATAACATTCAAACATAAGAATACTTAAGAATAGAGAATCAACAACAGACAACCATCTGAACACTGGTTGGAGAGTTGTCTGTCAGGGAGGATTTGCATACATAGAGAGAATCGAAGATGCCTGAGGGCCCCTTCTTACTTCATGGCTTCTCTGGGGAGTAAACTCTGGATTTATGTGTCTAACCTCAAATAAACCAGTGAAAAGTATCAACACCTCCTATATTAAAGTATCAAAACATACACAGAACCTCGAGGAAGTGACTCATATGCTTGTTGATAATTCCTGTTAAAAAATAAATTAAAGAAGGATAAAAAAATAACAAGAAATGAAGATCAAAAAATATAACTTGTCAGTACTTCTCTTTTCCCCTTTCGCTCAAGAACATTTCTGTGAACACTATCTTGGGTCTTGAAAAGAGAGGTGGAGTCTGCTCTTTTGCTACACTTCCTTTTTCATCAACCATAAGAGAATTTGTCTTCAGTTTCACCTTTCCTGCACCACTCTCATATTCCTACAGTTTTTCCAGGTGGGGCAAT